TTGACAAATTTACACCCTATTCTCTCCATCAGAAAAGAGTCTGTAGGCCACAGTCAGACACAAGCAGCAAGTCTCACTTGTTGAATAAAAAGCTCAGTATTACAAGCAGCACCTGTGAGTTTCTCCACCTTAATCTCCTCCTCTGCCACCTGGCTGCAGCTTCTAAACTTGAGGTAAGACTGCCACTTACTGTTAGACTCATCGCATTACAGTTTGAAACCAGTTCCTAAATCTTTGATTCTAAATGCCAAATGCAAAAGACTCAGCAGGGAAGGTACCAATTAACCTTTGAAAGCTTACTAACTACCAGAAATTAGGTTTAGTGCTTTGGAGCCATAATCTCACTTAGGCCCTAGAACAAACCTGTAATTTTTATTTTGTGGTTATTAAGTGGTTTTGTGAAAACACTCCAGGGTTTAGAATCCAATCACCTAGATTAGAACCTCTGGCCGAATTCATTTGGCTGCCTGTTTTTTGTAAAGTCCACAGGCTAAGAATTATTTTAACATGTTTAAATGATTGGGAAAAAAATCAAAATAATAATATTTCATAACATGAAAATTATTTAAATTCAGGTTTCAATGTCCATATCTAAAGCTGGAACACAGCTGTGCTCATTTGTTTACATATTTTCTATGGCTGCCTTTGTACCATATAAGAGAGTACTTATAATGCCTAAAATATTTACTAACTGGCTGTTTACAGAAAAAGTTTGTTGACTCCTGACCTAGATTCTAATCTGGAAACACCACCTGAGCAAACCACAAAACTGACCCCCACTTTCATAAAGTGGGGGTGATATCTACTAAGCGGGAGTTTTAGGAAGTTTAGTGCTATACGCACAGCATCTCCTTAAGATAGCAGCAGAATTCTAACAAAAATGCTTTAAAATGTTCAAAGGGAGCTCATAATCTGTCTACAAATCTCCTTCCTCAGTCCAGTATCATGTAGTGTATAAGAGTATGGATTTTAGGGACTTCCCTGGTGGCGCAGTGGTTGAGAGTCTGCCTGCCGATGCAAGGGACACGGGTTCGTGCCCCGGTCTGGGAAGATCCCACATGCCGCAGAGCGGCTGGGCCCGTGAGCCATGGCCGCTGAGCCTGCGCGTCCAGGCTCCACAACGGGAGAGGCCACAACAGTGAGAGGCCCGCATACTGAAAAAAAAAAAAAAAAAAGAGTATGGATTTTAGGGTCAAAATATCAGATTCCACTCGACTCCATTTATTACCTATGATTTATTAACTATATGATGCAGTAGAGAGGGGACAGAGTATGAAGGTTGAGTGCTTAGGCTTTGAAACTAGAATGTTTCAGTCCAGGCTTTGCCACTCACTAGCTTGGTGACCTTGGGTAAATGACACCTCTCTGAGCCTCTGCTTCCTCATCTGTAACATAGGTGTAGGAATCATAATGATTTCAATGGGTTGTTTTGAGGATAAGAATGGCTTTTCATACATAAAGTGATTAGAACGGTGCCAACAAAGTGCTAGCAGGCTGCCCCAAAATATGCTACAACGGCATACTGAACCAAGAAATGGCCAATGCAAGAGGGACACTCTGACCCCCACTTTCTGTTTCCCCCAAAGCAAAAAATAAACCTCTCCCATGAAAGGTGCACTCCCTGCAGTAAAGGTAAAAGGACACCCTTATTGCCTGGGAGAAGGAATTTCAGCCAAGAAGCCTATAACAAACCTTGTTACTTCTTTAATTTACTACCCCAAGCCCAAATTGTTTAGATTCTTCACTAATTGAGCACCCAAAACCTAAGTTTCTTTGTCCTGTCAATTCCTCAGAAATTCAGTGTTTGTCTAAAGAGTATATATGCTTTGGCTACTTCTTAGGTCCCATTTCTATGACACCTCCCTGTATAAGAATTAAAATGTCTCTTCTCCTGTTAATTTGTCTTGCGTCAATTTTAGTATTAGTGCAACCACAAGAACTCGAGAGGGGTGGAGGGGGAAATTTCTCTCTCTCCAACACTTCCCGTCAGATTTAGGATATAACAAACTCCTTCCCTTGGCCTTCTAAGTCCTGTAACCTGACCTCCATCTGCTTCTCTAGCTCCAGCCTCCTCCCTCCCTATGCTGTGGCCATAATAGCCTTTTCCCCCAAATCATGCCAACTTTTAGTTGTCTCATGAGACACTTGCACTTGCTGTTTCCTGTGACCTCAGGACCCAGGACACGTCTTTTCTCTCAAATACAACACAGCACAGTTGAAATGGCCTTCCAACACCCTTAACAACTGTGAACATAGAAACATAACTTGAAAAGAGAAGATAATGTGGACAAGGCATTTTGAGCAGGAAATAGGAATATAATTGGAAGCAAGAGTCTTCTGTTATAATGGCTGAATGGTTAAAGCAAGAACTTATACCTTCAAAAATTAACCTATTTGTTTTCCTGTTTATCTTTCTTCCATTTTCCTTCCCACTCCTCATACCCCCAGCAACTAAACCAGTATCAGGAATAGAGAGGAACACAACATCCACTAAATGAATGCAAGGAATAAATGAATTTAAAGGAAGGGGTGGCCCTCCTCCCCCCCAACACTGACATGCTGGGGTCTGTCAGATTCTTACAGAATCTGCCCCCAGCTGAATGGCCCAGTTGGAATCAGGTGTGCCACCCCTAACTCCTCCCTCCGAACTGGTTAATTAGCCTTTCACCTTTTTTTTTTTTTTCCGTTTTTGAGAGACAACTCCCAGAGAGTGGTATAGAAAGACCTAACACTTGGGAATCGTTAGCAGCCATGTTCTGCACCCGTACCATCAAAGAATTTGGTTTGTAGAGAATGAAGCTAACAGAAAAGCCAGAAAGGAGAGACAGAGGGTTCTGGATCAGGTTTGAGTCCCAGTTGCCCTAGAGACCCTCCCAGTCCTTCATGGTTTGGATGTTTAACTTATGTAACACAGTATCAACAAATTCATCTTTTGCTTAAACTAGTTCAATAGAGAGTACTGACTAATGTAATCCTCCTTTATCCTACTGCACAGTAGAGTCATCTACAGATTTCTTAAAACCAATACCAGGGCCCCAGGCCAGAACAATGAAACCAGAATCCTGGTGGTCTGGGGCCCAGGCATTGGTAATCTCAATAGTTGCCCAGGTTATTCTTCCAGATATTTCACTTTGAGGAATCAATCTATCAGGAATATTCATTATGACCAGGTGTGCAGAGATGTATTTTCATCCTCACAGACTGAATCTCTATATAAACTTTGAAATTTGTAACAACTATCAGACCACTAGTGCTCCTTCAACCCATTATAATACCAGGAGTTCACGTCAGAATTCTTTAGAGTTTATGCCAGGTCCCACCCACAGACCTACAAGATCGGGTTCTCCCAAGATCAGAATTTAAGATTCCACGTGAAATTTTAATCTCTTAATCCTTCTCTCCAACAAACACACATTATATACAAATGATGTCGTGACTCTCTTAAGGATGTGATAATGTGATTCAGTTAGTTTTTTCCATGCAACGAATTGTAAGGCAGCCAAAAATTGGTTTTGTACCTCTTAGCCCAGAACCCTCCTCAAGGTTGTAAAAATATTGAGGTCTCCTTTACAAAGGAGATTCCTTTGGAGAGTCGCTCAAGTGTTGAGCAATGTCTACCTTGCCCCGCCACCGGGAGATGAGGGGGTTCCCCTCCCCCTTTAATTTAAGCTTGAGAGAGCCTGGACAGTGTCTCCTGAAGTCTCTGGAGTCCAAAAATCTACCAAACACGTATCAGGAAAAAACAAATGAGACTTGCCAACTAAGTGCCTAATAGAGGGGTTATCTACTTGGAAACAGCCTACACTCCCCAGATTTTTAAAGAAAAGGATGCATGAATGTTTCACATATAGAACTGGCCTGTGGCCACTTTAAACTGGACTTTGCCAGCTTATCTGGCAAAAGGTCTTACCATTATCAGTGATTCTTAATCTTGAGCCTGCATGGGAATCACCTGAGGGCTCTTTAAACCACAGTTTGTTGAGCCCCACCCCTAGAGTTCGATTTAAGATGTCTGGGGTGCACCTGAGAATTTGCATTTCTAACCAGTCCCCAAGTGATACCAGTGCTGCTGGTCCAGGACTACGCCTTGAGAACCACTGGCCTTTATTAAGAGAAAGGCTGGCAGCCACCCTCAGATACAAGGCACACTCTCCATCAAGATTTTGCCGGAAGAGAGGCTGGAGAACAGAAAAGAGAAGGTGCAGAAATGAAATCTCAGTGCTCAAAACAGGTTGACTTCTTATTCACGTGGTGAAGTCACATCAGTGGGGGTGGGGATGGGGACTGGGAGAGGGTGGAGTTAATGAAAGGAGGGCCTAGTCTTCACGCTTTCAAGGACCCGAAATGATTGAACTTTTGCCATCTTCAAGTGGCTTCCAAAGTTTTGCTGGGTGTGACCATCAAACCAGCAGATAAGAAGAGAAATTTTTATGGGGCAGGCCTGGATTTTTACACCACATTCCACTGGTAAGAACTCAGTTACATGGCCTCACAGAGATGCAAGAGGAATGGGGGGAACATAGTCCCTAGCAGGGCAGCGTATCTCAGGCGTGCAAGAATCTCTGGCGGACATCCAGCAGTCTCTGCCACCAAAGCCCCTTCCCAGGGCAGGCTTCCAGCCTTAAGCAAGTCTGAGTTTAGGAAATGTATAGGTAATTACAGACATTTTAATTCTTAAAATGAATGTGACTAAAAGTGATCAAAGGACTTCTTAGTGACTGTAAAAAAGCTCTGGGACCCATCCAGGATAGGGACAAGAGGCTGAGACAGAGTGTTGCAGGAGCAGCCCAGAGGAAAAATAAACTGCTGTTTTATAACTCTCCAGGGTTCCTCTCTTTTAACATGTTACACTATTCTTTTTAGAGATTAACCAAATTTTTAAGTGAAATAAATCTAAGGATTTCATAATTTCATATTTATAAAGTTTGATATCCTTTATTATCTATCATTCTTAAAGCAAATGACAAATCTACTTTTCAGGGATGAAAACCTACTATTACTGAGGATATCTTCAAAGTTTACTCCAACTCCGAAAACAGGGATGTTCCACACAATAGAGGCAAACACTGCTTTTATTAAGGTGATTACTCTTAATGTAGGCGTACTCATTTACCTAGGCTTGCCATAAAGTGAAATGACATGAACTGCCTGTGACGCCTAACAATTGAGAAAGTTGGAGAGTCAAGCTGCTTGCAAGACTTCTAGTGCTCTCTCTTTTGAGGCTCTCTAACAGTGAATTCACTAATATATATGCTATTTACTGAAACGAAAAAAAAAAGAAGAAAAAGAAATATCCTTCACGGTCTTTCATTCATTTCGTCAATTAGGACACACAAAGCAGCGTCTTTCTCTATAATCTGATCTCTCCTATGACCTGAATTTTCTCTTTGCTGTTCATCCTGTCCAGCACAGTTGTTGCTATCATCAGCATCCATTGGTTCAGTTTTTACTCTCAGCCCTGCTTCCGAATGGGGCAAATCATCAGGCAAAGAAGCCAAGCAATTCTGAATCATCTCAATGACTCGTTCCAGATGCTTCTGAAATCTCTCAGCTGTCTCAAGGCGTTGACGTTTCTGCACCTCCATCATGACTCTCAAGGTCTCTCTTGCTTGGTGGGGTCGGTATTCATTTATGAGATGATGCACATGTACAAAAAGCAGCTTAAGATCTTCTAGCTTCTCTTCTCGTTTTATACTCCCAGGGCTCCTTATCAAGATATCTAAGAGGTCTAAGAAATTAATAAGGATAGACATATTGAGTTTTCTCAGTTCTTTCTTGTGATCAAACTGCATAGGATGAAGCCGTTCGATACCCTGACTTTCTAAAGGGCGGATGATAAGATCATCACACTGGAACTGGTTGCCAAACATCATATAACTGTCCTTTATTGGAGGTGGAGGCTTGGGAGCGAGGCCTTCCTGAATATTTTCATCTGTATACTCCTTGATGTACTGCATCGGAGGGGGTGGGAGGGCGCTTACTTGCTGTGGCTCACCCATTGTGGAAGATCAAGAACCTACAGAAATGGACCATCAGACAAAAAATAAGAAAAAAAAAAATCACACACACACACACAGAAATAGACCAAAGATTGAGAGTGGAGCTACAAAACAAACCTGTCACATTCAGCGACTAATGACAGAACATTTTACTTTTTCTCCCCTGGCAGTTTGGCACCCAGGACAAAATGATCTCCCCAGTCTCTAAAACTAACATTTACAACAGGGAAAGGCTGCATCCTTTTCTAATTAGCAATATATACTCAATCATCGTATTTTTCCTGCTCTACTTAATACTTTCATTGGCACAAAAAATATACTGTAGTACACACTTGACCCCTGAGCAACACAGGTCTGAACTTTCACGGGTCCACTTACACGTGGATTTTTTTCAATAGTAAATACTAGAGTACTACAAGATCCATGGTTGGTTGAATCCTCAGATGCAGAACCGCAAATATGAAGGAACTGCAGATACGAAAGGTCAATTCTAAGTTATACTCAGATTTTCAACTGCACAGAGGGTGGGTGCCCCTAACCTCCCGGTTGTTCAAGGATCAACTGTATTTTCATCTATAAATTAAATCATCTGGATTCCACACCCCTCACCAGTTATGCCTCACTTCTCTACCCTCCCTACAGCCAAACTACACATGCTGTCTTCCCATCTCACGTTACAATCACTCGTTTTATATTATAGATTGATCTCCAACAGCAAACACTTATAACTAAGGAACACTCTGACAAAATTAAAATTACTATATTCCAGACAAACTCACATCATCTGAGCTTCTGTGATCCAATTCCATTCCCTTTTTTCCTACAATATACTCTACAATTTTTTATAGACTCATTAACTTTTCTACATCTACTACAGAAATTTCAAATTCAACTATACCTTCAATAGCCACAATAACCTCCATCTACTCCATTTGAAGCTTAGGTATATCATAAAATGAGAATATCCCGAGTGCTCACTTAGATGGATCTTACCAGATTTTCAAGATATAACATAACACCATCCAACATGAGAGATAGCAAGCAATATACTGGAGGCAGTTTTATACTTGGAATTTGTGAGGTAATAAGGACAGCTGTGGGGCAGCCCTGAGTTTCCACCAAAACTGGCTGCTGCTGAGAATCAGTCTGTCAGTGGCCATGGGCATGATGAGTTACTCTAACTGTATCAACCCACACTTCACTGCTTTACTAGCCTTCTGCATATTCATTTTTATCACTATCCGATCTGGCGTCAACCTCCTACCTCCACAAAAACTGCTCATCACGGCCATCAACAATCACCACATGACCAAATCCAATGGACATTTTTCTAAGCTGATCTTAATCTCTCAGCAGCATTTTCTTCCTTTTCAACACACTCCCCTTCTCCCTCAGCTTCTGTGATGCTACATTTACGTCTTCCTCCTACCACACTGGCCGCTGCCTCTCAGTCTCCTTTACTGCCCCTCCTTCTCTAGCCAAATTTTAATGCTGGCATGCCTCAGAGACTCACAAACTCAAAACCCAAAGGGAAAAGGCAGGCAACATAAAGAGTGAAGGAGAACTGAGCATCTCCAAGCCAGACCTCAAAGCCTCCAGCCACTAGCATTCATGTGCGAATGAAGATTCATTGTTCCTTGGTCTTGAGTTTTCAAGTAAGGGCAAAAAAAATCCAGATTTTTATGTGAAATTTCTCAATTTTTAAAAATACTGGCAATTAATTGCAGAAATTGTCAAATACTGTGAGGTCAAAAAATATTTATCTCCAACAATCTTTGTGGTCTGCTGGCCACTAGTTTTAGGCCTCTGTTTTATGTTCTCCCTGGGATGATCTCAGTCAATTCCATAGCTTTTAATACCATTTCTATCCGTGGTTCTCAACCAGGTGTCATTTTGCCAACCAGAAGATATATGCAAGGTCTGGAGACACCTTTAGTTGCCACAACCAGGGAGGGGGTGCTACTGGCTTCTAATGAGTAAAGGCTGGGAATGCTATAAACATACAATGCACAGCAACAAAGAAGTATCCAGCCCAAAATGTCAATAGATTGTGCCGAAGTGGAGAAACCCTGGTCTATATTTATGACTCTTGACTTTTTTTTTTAATTTAAGTATACTTGATGTACAATATTGTGTTAGTTTCAGGTGTACAGCAAAGTGATTCAGTTATTTTTTTCAGATTATACTCCATTATAGGTTATTACAAGATATTGAATATAATTCCCTGTGCTATACAGTAAATCCTTGCTGCTTACCTATTTTATGTATAGTAGCTTGTCCGTTAATCCCATACTCCTAATTTGCCCCTCTCTCTCTCCCTCTCCCCTTTGGCAACCATAAGTTTGTTTTCCGTCTGTGAGTCTGTTTTGTACATAGATTCGTTTGTATTATTTTTAGATTCCACATATAAGTGATATAGTATTTGTCTTTTTTTTCTTGACTCTTGACTTTTTATCTCCAGTCCAGACTGCGTCTGGGCTGCTCCTGGATGTCTCACAGGGCATTCAAACTTAAAAAAAAAAAAGAAAAAAAGAAAGTTCTTTTGAGTCCATCTACCATAAATACACACACCCTAAACCTGTTCTTCTCATAGCTTCTACTCTTTCCTGTTTCAGTAAAATGTCCCCATTATCCACCTAGTATTTCAAGCCAGAAACCTAAAGGTTATCTTAATCCTCCTTTTTTACCAATCTCCTCTCCTCACCATCACTGCCAAATTTATCAAGTCCCAAAACTTCACTATCTCACTATCTCAAGTTCATCAGTTCTGATCAAGACACCATTCTCTCTCACCTGGAATACAATGGCTTCCCAGGGATCTTTCTGATTTCACTACAGTTCTTCTATATAATAGCCAGCCTAATTCTCATACCGCATTCCTTCTCCCTTATATCCTAGCATATTGTCTTCTAGTATTTGTTGGTAGCTCCATTCATTTCAAGAAGGCTTCAAATCAATGGGAATTTGGAAGTAGGTATAAACATCTTTAATGTTTATTTACTCTTTCAAATATTTACTGTTTGTCTAATATATGACAATGATGATTATAATGACAGATAACACTTGAGTACATAGTATGTGCCAGACACTGTGCTAAATACTTTTCTCATGGTTGCGAGAAATCTGAGAAAAGAAGGGTGCTCTTTCCATTTCAGAGATGAGATCACCGTGGCTCACAAAAGTTGATCCACTTGCGTAAAGTCACAGAGTAAAGGAAGGAGCCAGAGCCTAAAGATCTCAAACACTACATCATACTATCTTTCAAGGATAAACATGGCCTCCATCCTTGCGTTGCTTACAATCTATAAAGGAAAACAGACAAATAGCTAACTACATGTTTTAAGGTTACTACAAAAGACCAACAGATCTGACTACCAAAGATAAATCTAAAAATTCCATATAGGAAAATATATCATAAGCAAAATTAAAAGACAATCCCATTTTTCTGGGAGAAGAATGCCTGCAAGCTAACAAGGGCAAATATTAGAAACTTAATTTTGATTTTTAAAAAACATTTTCTGATTCCATCCCCACAAGATAAAGCACTATGACTTCAGCAGTTGCCTGTCGTATTCACAACTCTACCTCCAGCGCCTTAAACAATGCCTAGAAGGTGCTAAATCCTCAATAAAGATCCACTGAAAGAGGTTTTTTTTAACCCTATATATTTTTAAAAAATAATAGAAAAATAGGCAAAAGATGATGAGAAAAATGCAAATGCTCAATAAAGGCAGGAAAATATTCAGACACACTGTTAAAAGCAAATTTTAAAAAGGATTCTTTTCATCTAACAGAGTATCAAGATTTCACATACTACATCATCTGACAAATGTTAGAACACCTTCTATGTGGCAGGCCCTGGTTTCCAGCACAGGTCACACTCTCCTTCCTCTCAGTTTCTTCAGAGTGGCCATCCCAATTTTAGAAGCAGGCTCTTAGCTCCTCTGGCCCTGCAGGGAAGCCTACTGCGGTGGACAGCATCCATTCCCCTCAGCTCTCACAGAAGACACCATGACAGCCACCATATAACACTCTCAGGTGGCAGGCCAGTACCGCCAAGAGAATATGGGGAATCCTCAGACACAACTGACAGGAAAGGAAACGAATATATTTATTTGGAATTTAACCTGACAGTATCAAAACTTTTAATGCTGATATTCTTTGACCCAACAATTCTTTTTTTTTAATTTTTACTTTATACTGGAGTATAGTTGATCAACAATGTTGTGTGACTCAACAATTCTATTTCTAGAAAGTTATCCTACAAAAATATTGGTACAAGTACACAAAAGTGTGTTTAAGGATGTTTAACGCAGCATTGTTTGAAAAGAGCAGGAAAAGCTGGAAACAGCCCATAACTTCATCAATAGAGGGCTGGATAAAATGTCTATATACACACACAACACAGCCATTAAGAAAAAAGGGGTGAAAGTGCATGGGATGGAGGGTTATAAATACTGTGTACCATTTCATTTATTTACAACACACTTACGAGTTGCAAATAGTTATAATCAACTCTTTAAAACTTCCAAAAACATCAATTCAGACTTATAGAAAAGCTATATGAATAGTATAAAGAATATTCCATATTCTTCACTCAGATTCTCCAAATGTTAACATTTTCCCTCATTTGCCTTATTGGTCTCTCATCTCTGTACCCGCAAATACTTCAGTGGGTATCCCCCCAAATAAGAATGTTCTCTTATAACCACATAATTACCAAAATCAGAGAATTAGCAATGATCTGGTACTTCAAAATAAATTTCAGACAGCCCAGGTTTCTCCCCACTCAAGCCTTTTTAGATTGGAAGCCCAGTTTTGTGCCTCCCAGCACCATGTGTAATCCTCTACTTTAGCTGCCAATCCCCACAGGGCAAGTAAGTGACAGGTACCATTGTTTCACATCCTCTCTTAATCTTCAAACCAATTCTATGAGTTAAGTAGTATTTTCAATTTCATTTTAGAGATGAGGATCCCAAGTCTGTCTCACCAAGGGGAAGTGTCTGCAACCAGATCAAAAGGCTAGTAAATGGCACAGCAGGAATTCTTAACCTTGGTTCCTGTACACAGTACAAGTTCCCTTAAATCAGTAAACTATGAAGCATCTAACAGTACAAAAGGAAACTGACGTATTACAGAAATCCTGTTTATCTCCCTATCACTTCTCTAGACTAAACTTGTCAAAGGCGATGGAGGCTTTTAGTAAAACAAGCTGGTTGTTTAGTAAAATCATAGCTGGTTATCAGACTCAAGATCCACCTTCTAGTGTTTGTTCCGTTCTGCGGTATTTCACCAAAAAAAGAAAGGTATTCTAGGGTCCCATCCCCAGACTTTTGACTCGTTTTGTCTACTGTGAATGGGGCCGCTGGTATGTTGTTTTTAAAACCTCTCCAGATGATCTAATGATTAGGCTTGGCATCTACCTCCTTCCCCGCCTCCCATTAATTCTTCTGATTTCAGGACTGCTCCCTGAGGAGGAAGAGCAAGGCTGGTTATCCCGTAAGGCTGGAGAGGCCAAAGGACTCGCCGAGGCCACCCACCTTAGCAAACCAGCCGCGAGAGACTAGAACTGAGGTCTGCCAACCTCCGGCCGGGCTCGGCCTCCCCACTCGAAGGAAGCCCAGAGCCCGCCGCAAGGAAGGCACCTTCCGCCGAGCGGTTCACCCCGGGGCTCAGCGAGCGGCGGGGAGGCCGCGCTCCCCGAGGGACGCGGGAAAGGAAAGCGGGCGAGCGTACGCCGCACCAGGCCTCCCCCATTCCCAGCCCGCCCGGAGGAAGTCGCGGGGTCCGGAAGAAGAAATGCACACTGAACGGAGCACCAAACCGTCGCCGCCCACTCACCTCAGCCCCGGGTTTACACTGGTAGCTGCTTTCTCCACCGCCGCCGAGACCCAACTTCCAACCTCCTCTTCCAGGAAGAAGCCTCTGACGCTGTCCCTTGACTGGCTGAAATAGCTGTCCTTTAACCGAGGCTCTAGGCCCGCCTCTGACCGCTGGCTTGCTATTGCGCCTGCGCACGGCACCCCCCCCCCCCC